AACCAGGCCGGCCTCGCAGGCTCGCCTCAGAATCCAGCTGGTGGGGAAGATGAGCCCTACCTGCTGCAAGGCTATCCTGAGGGCTGAAGAATGGTTGGCAGGCAAATGGCCGCGGCTGCTCCTCCACTGATCTTCTCCTGACGGCTGAATAAGGCTGGTCAGGCAAATGGCTGCTCGGCTGCTGAGGTAAACTGTTCGGATTGGAGTTTTGGTGGGAGCTGGCTCTGTGGGCAGGACTCAGGCACACCTTCTGATGGGCAGTTCAGGCAGCCAACTGATTTTGGCAAGCATAGAATGTTGCCATGCAAAAACATGTTTATATATAAGGACAGGATATGTACACACAGCTCATAAAAAACCACTTTCAGCCAGATGAGTTCTGAGGAAGATTATGTAAAAGATTAGAATAATCAAGAAAAACACAACAATAATTAGCAGCAGCTAAACAGCAATAGCAGCAAATATCAGTAATCTCCAGTGTTTAATGAAGGCTAATAACCGGGGCTTTTATTCTGGGGGAACATGTCAGAACAGGGTTCCAGAACCTCTTTGACAAAATTCTTTTAAAAATGTTTAAAAGTTCATGAGTTTTCAATATACAGATTGAAAACTTCTATTTCCCTCTTGAGAGTTCCAGCACCTCTTTTTTTGGGGAAAAAGCCCTGCTGTTAACCATCATCGATACATTGATCCGGGCCTACACACACACACACACACACACACTATGGAGTGTGTGCATAAAAGCATGATTCTTTTTTTCATCCTCCAAAAGCCTCCAAGATGCTAATGCTGGACATTACATAGCCAAAAATCCATGTGACCCAGGAGGCTGCCTTGAAGAGGCACAACAAAGCAATATCTTCCCCCTCCTTTTCCATTAATGAACATTATGTTGGTATAGAAGTAGGGCCATGCATAGTAAGAACATAAGAGAAACCATGTTGGATCAGGCCAATGGCCCATCCAGTCCCCTCTTGAAACTGTCTATGCCTGTAGCCGCCACTTCTTGTGGGAGTGAATTCCACATGTTAATTACTCTTTGGGTGAAGAAATACTTTCTTTTATCTGTTCTAAACTTACTGCTCATTAATTTGATTGAGTGCCCATGAGTTCTTATATTGTGAGAAAGGGAGTAAAGTACTTCGTTCTCTACTTTCTCTATCAATGCATAATTTTGTAAACCTCCATCATGTCACTCCTCAGTTGTCATTTCTCCAGGCTAAAGAGCCCTAACTTCTTTCTTCACAGGGAAGGTGTTCCATCCCCTTAATCATTTTAGTTGCTCGTTTCTGCACTTTTTCCAGTGCTATAATATCTTTTTTTTGAGGTGAGGTGACCAGAACTTTATACAACATTCCAAATAAGGCCGCACCATAGATTTATACAGGTTCATTATTATACTGGCTGATTTGTTTTCAATCCCCATCGTCGTCATAATCATAATCGTGTTTGACCTTTTTTTTATTACAGTTGCACACTGATTAGACATTTTCAATGAGTTATCTACCATGACTCCAAGATCCGGTCAGTTACCGCCAGTACACACACCATCAATGTATATTTATAATTAGGATTTTTTTTGTTCCAATATGCATTACTTTACACTTGCCCATGATGAACCTCATATGCCACACTGATGCCCACTCACCCAACCTCAACAGATCGCTTAGGAGCACCTCACAGTCTTCCCTGGTTCTCATTTCCCTGAACAACTTAGTACCATCCACAAACTTAGCCACTTCACTGCTTACTCCCAACTCTAAATCATTAATGAACAAGTTAAAAAGCACTGGACATAGAACCAAGCCCTGCAGTACCCCACTGTTTACCCCCTTCCACTGCGAAAACTGCCCATTTATACTCACTCTCTGTTTCCTGTTAATTAACCAGTTTTTAATCTACAAGAGGACTTGTCGTTTTATTCCATGACTGCTGAGTTTACTTAGGAGCCTTTGATAAGGAACTTTATTAAAAGCTTTCTGGAAGTCTGGGTAAACAACATCTTCCAGATCACCCTTGTCCACATGTTTATTTGCCCTCTCAAAGAACTCTAAAAGGTTAGTGAGGCAAGATCTTCCCTTTCAGAATCAATGCTGATTTTCCCTCAATAGCTTTTGTTCATCAATATTCCTACTAATTCTATCTTGAATAACAATTTCCACCAACTTACCCAATATTGGTGTTAGACTGACGGTCTGCTCCATGGCACAATCATTGAGAGTGTCTAGAAACCTAATCTTTTTCTCCTGCCTTGAACATATATTGACCTGATTAATATGTTGTTAGTTAAAATCACCTATTAGGACACAGTTATTTTTTCTAGCTGCTTTCCTTAATTCTTTTGCTCTTTTTAAATCATCCTCTAACCTTTGATCTGGTGGCAATAACAATCTTCCAGAGTTAAGAATATGTGTGTGCTCATGAAAGCTCATACACTGAATAAAAATTTACTGGTCTTAAAAGTTCCACTGGACTTTGTTCTACTGCTTCAGGCCAACATGGTTACCCACCTGGATCTATCCCAGAGTTAAGCTTCCTTTTGGGCACATTATTTTCATCCACAGCATTTCTGTAAGCAAATCTGTTTCTCTTACATTCTCAATTTTACTGGACTGTATACCCTCTCTGACATACAGAGTCACTCCACCTCTGACCCTTCCCTCCCTATCCCTTCAATATTATTTATATCCAGGAATCACTGTACCCCACTGATACAGTGAAATACCCTAGATGAAGATATACATAGATATTGCTGTTTTGAGTCATTACCATGTTTTTCTGAAACTATATTAGGAATCCTGGATTCTTTGTGAAATAAAACTACCCTCCCAAAAATCAGTGGTGTTTCCAAGTTCAGGAGCTGCTAGATGGCTACGTTATGTGCATGTGTTTTTCTTTGATCCCACTGATTTCTTGAGCAATGGCATTTCTTCCTTCCAATCAGATCCTGGTGCTTTTGGTCTATGGCTGGGTAAACAGAGAAGAAGAAGAGTTGGTTTTTATACCCCAATTTTCTCTACCTTCAGGAGACTCAAAGCCGCTTACAATAATCTTCTCTTTCCCCACAACAGGCACCTTGTGAAATAATTGGGGCTGAGAGAGTTCTGAGATAACTGTAACAGGCCCATGGTCACCCAAGAGAGCTTGGATATGGCAGGCAGACAGAAAGAAATGGATGTGTGTACAAAGGAAACCACTTTTACTTTTTGAAAGGAAAAATCCAGCCACCGCAAGGAAGAATGGCCAATGCAGAATTTTAAATAGAAAGGGAAGAAATTGTTATTATCACCCATGGTTAGAATGTGAAAATGCAGGCAGTTTTTTGGGTTTTTTTAAATGGCTGTGGCCACCTAGAGCTCTCCTGCTAGGCTGCTTTGGCCACTGTTTTAGGAATCAGTGGAGAGAACTGAGTCCGTGGTGAAAGCACGGCCGGTGCCAGGTTTTTTTTGCACACTAGGCGAGGCTACCTTCTGGTGCCCCCTCCCCCTGTGGGCCCACCGATTTTCAAACATAAATGCATTTTAGAGAGAATGAAAAACACAAATTTGAAATTGCTAATTTCTTTTTTTTTAATTGTGAGAATAAGTAATACAATCTCTGATTTTCTCTCTCAAACAGAAAAACACAAATCACAAAGCATTTTTCCCCCTTTCTGAAGCATCTCATCCCTGAAAAGTCAGGCATCCTTTGAAAAACAAATCAGAGTTAAAACCAGGCAGGGTTTCCAGTGATGCAGAAACTAGATTGTTTTCTGCAAATGAAATAATAATTTGCAGCTCTTCCCCTCACCTCGAGAGTTATTTACCACCTACCAGAGTAGTCCAAGAACAGCACCTGCACAAAGATCCTGAGCAAGTTAGACAAGTGCAAGTAGCAGATTTTTCTCCCAGCCAATGGGGGGGGGGTGGACCTCCCTCTTCTCCTCCTGTCAGGGAGAGCTTCTGTGCCAGTCAGGCACTTCTGGCTGTAGCTTCCTCTCCAAGGGTAGCATTTTACTTTGCAATATCAGGATTGGGCAGGGGGGATGGTTTGCCTACATTTGCCCCAGCAACACTTTTTTTGCTTCCAAATTTGGGGTCTGTCCTGGGCACCCACTTCCCCTCTTCCCCCTTCCCCTCCCTACCTGGCCGGCTCTGGAGCTGAGGAGTGGTGTGTGGCTGCCAAAGGGGATGAGGCATGGGGATGGACAGAGGAGGAGACAGGAGCACAGCACAAAACCTAGCACAGGGCAGTGAGGTGAGGCAAGGGAAGGGAAGGGGTGGGGCGGCGGGGCGGCCATGGGGGGGGTGCCTTTCAGGAGGTGCTCAAGGCAAGTGCCTAAACTTCATCTATGATGGTCTGGCCCTGGGTGAAAAGCATCTACTTCAGGGGTCTGTAAAACTGACCCCCTTTCATCCAATTCACTTGGGGGAGATCTTTAGATTAAAGGTAAAGGTAAAGGTTCCCTTGCTTGAAAGCCAGTCGAATCCGACTCTAGGGTTGTGGTGCTCATCTCCGTTTCAAAGCCGAAGAGCCAGCGCTGTCCGAAGATATTTCCGTGGTCATGTGGCCGTCATGACTAAACACCAAGGTGCACAGAACGCTGTTACCTTCCCACTGAAGTGGTACCTATTTATCTACTCGCAATTTCTTGCTTTCGAACTGCTAGGTTGGCAGGAGCTGGAACTAGAGAAAGGAGCTCACTCCATCATTTGGCACACTCGGGTCTCGAACTGCTGAACTACCGGCCTTTCACAGCCTGCAGTTCAGTGTCTATTCTGTGAAAACTGCATGGCATTATGTTTATAAACAGCTGCCCCAGACCCTCATGTACATTTCCCATTGAAAATAATGATCCAGGACTCTGAAAGGACATGGATTTGAATCCCAAACCAGTAACGTCCTACTAAAAAATAAGCAATCACAGTAAAAATCTTCCCCCTGAAGCCCAGATCTGAAGTTATAATGATTTCTTTCTAGGTGTACACCCCTACATGGAAGTGGTGCCAGAAAGGTTTATTTAATTATTCAAAAAAACTATTAGGTGCCTTTATACCTTATAGGAACTCAAGGCAGCTTACGATGTAAATAATAATAAAATACACAACATACATAAAAAAATGAGTTAAAATCAATAATTTAAAACTGCCAATAGGCAGAAGTACTAACCAAAAGCCATAATGAATAAGACTGTTTTCAGCTGCTTCCTAAAGATTGAGAGTAAGGGGGCCAGGAGCACTTCTCTTGGGAGTTTGTTCCATTATTGTAGGGCTGCCACTAAGACCCTTTCTCATGTATCCACTAGAGGAGCATCTCTGATTCATGGGACAGTCATATGGGCCTTTCTTTATTATCTTAGTTCCTAAGCATGAATGTATGGGAGAACAAAGGCCTTCAGATGCCCAGTTCCAAGCCATGTAGGGCTTTAAAGGTCAAAATCAACACCTTGAGTTGGGCTCAGGAGTAGACCATGAAAAGTACTGGGTTTGCCACATGGAAGACTCTGACAACGACATGTGTTTGCACATGTTTATTGTACTTCACACTGGAACTAACCAACGGCCCTGCAAGGCCAACTATATACACACCCACCCAGCACACACCCAGTCCCGTTGGAGGGTTTGAATTTCCTGCCAAAGTGGCTATTGGTGAATGCTGGGGGAACTAGGATCCTAGGCTTCTATCGTCTAGAGGAGCCAAGCTCCTTACTGTAGCTGCGGACCCCTGGTGGTGGCCTGCATACATAACACTCCTCCCCCCATAGTTCTGACCTTACCTATGTAATATAGTCCTGCAAATAGGTGTCTCAGAGCAGCTTACAAACTCCTTTCTCTTTTCCTCTCCACAACAGACACCCTGCGAGGTAGGTGGGGCTGAGAGAGCTCTTGACAGACACCTCTCTTTTTCAAGAACAGCTCTTATCAGAGCTACGGCTTACCCAAGGTCATCCAGCCATGTGCAAGTGGAGGAGTGGGGAATCAAACCCGGTTCTCCCAGATTAGAGTCCGCGCACTTAACAACTACACCAAACTGGCTCTCTTTATTACTTTATTACCTGTGCAGAAAAGCCCTCTTGAATAGTTCAGTTTTGCATATTTTGGAAGAGGCCAGGGGATTGGGAGCTTCCCGGACCTCTTTGGGCAGGTTATTCCACAATGTGGGAGCCACAAAGGAGAAAGCACCTGTGTGGGCAGTTGTTGCTTTTGCCCATTTGCAGGTTGACACCTGCAGAAACCCCTGCTGACATGAGTGGTGCGATCATGGCAGAGCAAAGAGAGATACAGCAGCACTGTAAATAAGAAGGGCCAAGTACCAGTACCTTAAACTAAACTTGGTAACAAATGGGTAACCAAAGGAGGGATTTTGAGGGAGACCAATGTACAGTGCATCACAGTAGTCTAGCCTCAGTGTTACTGCAGTGTGGATCCAGGTGGTTAGGTCAGGTGTAACAAGGTAAGGGGCCATTTTACAGGCTAGGCTGAGTTGGAAGAAAGCTTTTTTGTTCTGTTTTCATTGGTGGTTTCTGGCCTGGGGCCAAGATATCTAAAGGACCAATAGATACAATCTATTAGTACGGTCATTGACCAAATACGTAAAAGATCTAAAAAGACATCAGCTGGTAAAACAGTAAAATGCATACAGACGCTATCCAGAACTAAAAGACCATCTTATGAACCGGCCCAAACTCATAGATCATATTGGTGAATCCCTTCAATGTCCATCAACTCTTTGAGGTATAGTGGGTAGAAAGGTTTTTCCCCCTGTTTGTAGCACTCAGTCTATTGTTCTCTCAAGGTAGACCCCCAACTCTTCTTGCTTTTCAACACAGTGTAAAACTTTGGTTGTTAGAGGGCATTTGTTACCTGGTCCATGATGACTGCAATTCTTCCTTATTTTATTCATACCCTGCATGAATTTGTCATTGTATAATGTTGCCAGCTATCTTGACAGAATTGTTTTGACAGAAAGGTGGGATAAAACATTATTAAATAAACATTGATGCAACCGACTCCATGTGTGAGGTTGGAAACAACTGCTCTACACACACACACCTTGACTGATTACTTTGTGTGTGTTGATTCCATCTGTAAAGGATTCCATGGAATAGCTCCTTGGCATTATCTTTTGATCCTACCTCCTAAGATCAAAGTCTAGATTTATTATGGCAGTAATTTCAAAATGTTGGTAAGCTTTTGCAGTGGACCAATAGAAGGATTACTAAATGTGGGTTCAAGGCCAAAGTGGGTGTCTCTTATATAATAAATTTGGCAAAAGTACTGTCGTAAATTGGGTATATTGCTCTTTCTTTTGGTGTGGTCTCAATAAAGTCAGTCAAGTTTGAATTTAAGATAAGCAAGGCTTGGCGTATTCACCACACAGGCACCTTTAGCTCTTGACCATCATTGTCCTTTGCTTTATTTTTAAAATCTCCTAAATTATATTTTTCAGATCCTAAGGGTATGCATACCTACAGATTCTTCATTCCCTGGATTGGTAGGTAGAACTATGATTCATCCTTTTTAAACATAATGTATTGTTGTGACTCAAGGAATAGAAGTTGCAAGCACAGATGCCCAACACCTAACCCTCTCCAGCCCTGATTTAGGAATCTTTTAAGTCTGTTTTTACCGAAGTCTGAACGTGGCACAATATTTTTATCATATAAGACAAAGGCCGTTCAAGTACATAAAGTGGACAGAAAAGGGGGGGGGGAGACAAAAATAATAGCAATTATCTTATGTAGCATGTTTTATTTCTTAGAAGCAGTTGTTAAAAGCATTGTTTTCATCTCAGAGGTCACTATACATTAGCTAAACATTAACATTCCTTAACTTACTTCATAAGCATTTTTAACCCATTAACATTCCTTAACTTACTTCATAAGCATTTTTAACCCTGTAAAAAGTACAGATTTCTATCAATTCTGCCCTCTGGACTCAGGAGAGCCCCCCCACCCACCCAGTGCCAGTACTCAGTACTGGTGAGGATTGCCACAAAAAATCCCTGATTTATGAGATTAACTGGTTTGGTTAGTCCAGTTACCATTAGTTAGCAGAGTGCTTAAATAAAGCATCATTTTACCAGGTTACTCAGCTTACAAAGCTACACAGAGCCACATTGCAAGTTTAGAAGATAAATACTTCTCTCTTTATTTGAGAAGTACATTTAGGATAGGAAAGAGCAGAGATTGATAGATTTCTAATTTACTAGCTAAAGGATGGAGCCGGATGGCGAGAGGCCCATCTGCCTCATGATGAAAAGAGAGGACAGCATGCTTGGTGCGGGCTGGTAGAGATCAAGTCTTCATTTAGAGTGAGAGAGAAGCAGGAAAGGGAAATTGGTCCCTGAGATTACAATCTGCATTTCAAAGAGGACAGTGGCAGAAGCGTAAATACAGGAAGAAAGGTCAGTGTGACTACCTAGCTATCTAGTCTCTCTTGCCACTCAGTCTGGAGGTCTGAGGCAGGGGACATCGCATCTGGAACTCCCAACATGATTTCACCCATTCTCAATGACCTATTAGAACTCATGTCTGTATGGATAGTATGGTTGTGAATCTCCAGGTGGGCCTGGAGATCTCCTAAAAATACCACTCATCTGAGATAGCTCTCCTGGAGAATATGGCTGCTTTGGAGGGTGGACTATACTGAGTTCCCTCCCATTCCCAAAAGTCTTACCTTCTCAGACCCTACCCCCAATCTCCAGGTATTTTCCTATCTAGACTCCACAACCCTAAATACAGTGTCTCCAATGAAGAGCTTGGCCTTGAGTAGTTAGTGAGAGAAAAGAACTGTATTTGTAACAGCCTGGGGAGAGTGGGTGAATAATGTGTTTATGTGAGTCACAGGAGAATGCTAATGAAGGTTTTCAAAGAGAGAGTGAATAGATATGTTAAAGAAACAATAGAGGAGAAATAGTGAAAGAGGACACACTTCTCAGCCTGATCCTGGAGAAACAGATGATGTAGCAGTAGTATGATGGCTGACAGCTTGGGTGAGGGGAGAACTAACAGAAAAACCAAGAAGAAGTAGAACCCAAGGGAGGAGGGAGAACTACCTTTCTAGTCTGGCACTGTATGTCATGTGATGGTGAAGTGAGAACTGCTTCATGGCTACCAGATAGGGTTGCCAGCTCCAGGTTGGGAAATACCTGAAGGTTTTGGCAGTGGAGCCTGAGGAGGGTGAGTTTGGGGAGAGGAGGGACTTCAGTGGAGTAGAATGCCACAGATTTCACCTTCCAAAGTGGCCATTTTCTCCAGGTGAACTGAGCTCTGCCGCTTGGAGATCAGCTGGAATCCCAGGAGCTCTCCAGCCGCCACCTGGAGGCTGGCAACCCTACTACCAGGGCTAGAGAGTGAAATATTTTCTTCATTTTCATGTTCCTTTGGTACACTTTCCACAGAAACAACATACGTATGGGAATTAGCATACTAAGAATTTATCCTTGGAGCTCCTCATGGAGGATGATTCTGTTTTATGCTAACTCACGAGAATTTTTCCAGCTAATTAATGGTTCTTTGTCGAAATGAAGGATTAATATTACAAACACTGAACTTTCTTCTTTTGTTTTTTGGATCATGTTCTGGAGTCACTAAATTATTCCTTAGTTTGAGGGATGTGCCAGCTTTTAAATTACTCAACAGCATCCTTTATAAGGATTCAAAAGACTTTTCCCCACCCCACCCCCCTTATACTTTTTTAGTTCTGCATTGTGGGAAGCTCCAGGATGGTAACAATATGCTTGAAGCCTCTTACCAGGACCTTAATCAGCCAGACATTTTGATTCTCCCAGATCATGCTGTGACCCCTGGCGTCCCTCATCAGTGTAAAACTGCAACAACTCTTGAATACTTCCTAGACTTCAATCAAAATATTAGTGAATATTTTCATGCATACACATAACTTTCCTTCAGTTATGCAGAGAAGCTCCTTGTGCTGTGGTGGCAGCTGCTGCCAAAACAACTTTTAAAAAATCTGCACAGCCAATCAGATCTCCAATAGTCAGTCAAAAGCCATGGGCAAAAGCTCCACCTGTTTCTGTCCACTTTTTTTTTTAGTTGGTGGGTGCCAGGAAATGTGGCACCCCTGCCTTTCACGTATCATTTTCTGTCACTGCCCAAGACACTGTAATGCACTCAGTACACTTAGGTATCTACACAAAAAGGCCCATATTAGGAATGCTTCTCTCCTCTAACATCCCAAGTATCTGACTAGGGTAAAGATCATTTGTTCAAGGTCTGCAGTATTCTGAAAGTTCTCTTCCTATTTTATGCCCACAGGCAAAGGGCTGCTGATCCTACATGGACCAAAGTGGTTTCAACATCGTCGATTGTTGACTCCAGGGTTCCATTATGACATTTTGAAACAGTATGTACCACTGATTGCAGATTCAGCCAAAGTGATGTTGGTAGGCATTGATGCTTATGTTTTATTTATTATTTATATATTAGATTCATAGCCCGCCCTCCCCTGTACAACAGAGCTCAGGGCGGGTAACAACAGTATTCATAAATTTAAACTATTAAAGCTGCTGCTGTTTGCATTCTTATATCTCTGAATAGAGAAAATTAGGATCAAGGGGAATAAAATATTACATTTCTGTAACACCAAAGTGCACCTGAACGCAGATTTCAAAATAATGAAACAACTGACAATTCCTATGTTCAATGAGCATGAAATGTTCAATGTGCTTATAAGCCAGCCCTCTCCCAGTCCACTCACCTTGTGCAAGTTTACATAGTTCATTAAGATAGTAGTTATCAATTTTATCTTTGTTGAAAAATGTGTTCACATGATAGGAGTGTTACAGACCCATGATAGCCCTTCCATACAACTGTGCCATTGTGGCTTGAAAACTGACTCTCCTTATCTTTGTTTTCCATTTTAGGATAAGTGGGAGAATCTGGTTGACAAGGATGGTACGAAGTCATTAGAGGTGTTTGAACATGTCAGCTTGATGAGTCTAGACAGCATCATGAAATGTGCATTCAGTTACCAGAGCAATTGCCAGACTCAGAGGTTTATATTGTCTAAACCTGACAATAATTTTTCTTTGAGCTGTGACCATTCTCAGATTTTTTTTAAAAAAAACCTTACTCTTCCCTTCAGGCAGTTGGATTATTATGTCAAAGCTGTGTATGACCTGACCTATCTACTGTCTCAGAGAACCCGCACACTCTTGCTTCGGAATGATCTCATCTATTGGTACAGCTCAGATGGGCGTCGTTTCCGGGAAGCCTGCAAACTGGCCCATCAACATACAGGTACTGCCTCACCTTCCATTGACAGAAAGAAAAAAAAATACTAAAAAGCACCACACTGTATGACATGTCAGTCAATGAAAAAAATCCTTAAAAATAGGAAATATGATTATTGTGTCAGGATTAAACTCACATGTACTAAATAAATGTTCAAAAAGTCTCTCAAGAAGCACACATGAGTAATAATTAACATGTGCTAAATGCACCTCCACAGTAAATATATCCAACTGCATTCCAGCTGATCCCAGAGCCTATTCCCCAATCAGGCCCCTCCTAAGGCCCAAAGAAATCCCCTGGCCTTGTGCTCGGGCTGATGGTGAGGCTTGAGAAGGTTCTTGCTCCCAGGGAGCCTATCCCCCACGCCCACTTGATCAAGGGCCTGCCGCTCTCCCTTTTTAAAAATTCTAACCCTAGCCACAGACCCTAATGGCCGGCACCAAGCCTGCACCCCCCCCCCCAGACAGGCCCAAGCCTTTGGGTCCGGCAGGCATGAAAGGCCCCTGCCTGCAATGAGGTGCCTCTGGCCTGCGGCCTGGGCCACTGCCCAGGGCCAAATGCCGCTCTTCCCTGCCACTGGAAGCCACTGCCAAGAAACGGCGCCACCACCAAATGCCTCTTGGAGCCACTGCCAACTGCCGTGCAGCATCACCGCGGTCCAACGAAGCCCCACAGGTACACCGCAGCTCATGATCGGAGCTCAGCACACCCCAATCACCAACTGACAACTGGCTGGCTAGGGGGAGAGCTAGCCGTTAAACAGCCAGCTCTACCCGCTGTGGGAGCATGTGCTGCCTGTCTCTTTCAGGGAGGCAAAGCTGACCCTCCTATCGCCTGGCCAGGAGGCTGGGTGTTAGGGTAAGGCCAAATTCTGCATCAACGGGAGTCTCCAAGTTGTCTTTGTTTATACCAATGTAAAGTGCATTACAGTAGTCTAGTCTTTGTTACCATGGTGTGGACCCAGGAGGAGTCAAGGTAGGGGGCCATCTTCCAGGCTAAATTAAGTTGATAGAAAGTAGTTTTGTAGCTATAGTAACTTGCTTCTGCAGCAATAATGTTGGATCCAGTATAACCCCTAAGCTCTTGACTGAGTCAGCAACAGTCAGCCAAAACTCATCAAAGATGGGAAGCACAATGTCCTTCAAGATCACTGCTGTCCCAACTAGAATTACATCTATCTTGTCATTATTTCATTTCAGTTTGTTCACTCTTAGCCATTTAACTGCAATGGACAGGATTTGGATATGGAGAGAGAGAGAGCTGGGTGTCATCAGCTTATTGATGACAGCACCCCTAAAACTTTGCATGATTTGTCCTAAGGGTTGAACAGAATGGGGAATAAGACAACTGCTTATGGAACCCCAGAGGACAAGTCTCACATTGATGACAACTGGTCTCCAATGGCAATCCTTTGAGTCCAGTCTGTAAGGAATGATTTGAACCAGTCTAAAACACACCCCTGATATTAGTTCTGTCTCCAAATGCTTCAACAAGATGACATGGTTCACAATATTGAAGGCTGCAGGTCAGTCCAGTAGGATCAACAAAGAAACAAAGGTCATCAATTAAAGCCACCAGGTTTGTGCTTGTCCTATAACCTGGCTGAAAAGGATCCAGAGCAGATATCCAAGATATCCAAGAAAACCTGGAATTGGTCAGCTACTGCTCTCTCAATCACTTTGTCCAGAAAGAGTAGATTAGAAACAGGGCTATAATTGGCCACATCAGTTTTCTGTAAGGGATTTTTTTTTTAAGTAGTGGATGAATAACTGAAGGAAGGTGTCCTGAATCTGCAGTTGATTTATGATGGACACTGGGTGCTTATTGATGTGGTCCTTACATGCTTTTTGCAGTCAGGATGGGCAGAGGTATTGTTATAGGTATTTATTGGGTATTACTAAGCTACCTGGGAACTCATTGCAGTTGGAGTGTGGGAAATAAATATCTTAACCATTCCAGATTAACATTAGACAACATTGGATCCTTTCAGCTTTCCTGCTGGCACAGGATGGAAAATGCCACCTTTAACCACTCCCTGAAAAGACCATACTAGAGACTGTGGGACCCATGTGGCCAAGAAAGCCATTTGAGATAGGACTGTAGTGAGGAATTTGAGATTTCGCCACCTGTTTTTATGCCAGCAGAAAAGCTGATAGGATCCAATCCAATATTATGACTTCATCTGACTGTTGGTACAGAATTGTCCTTACAAAAGTCTAAAGCCACCATGTCAATAAATATCTTCACCCCTAATATATGCCACAGAAAAAGTAATAGAAAACAGAAGGAGATCCTTCAAGGAGGAGGGAGAGCTTGAAAAGATCCAGAAGAAACGATACTTGGATTTTCTAGATATTCTTCTTTGTGCCAAGGTAAGAAACTTTAATCTGAAGTCTTTGCTATGTGCTGTCAGCCATTAGCTAAATAGCCATTAACACTAGGTATCCCACAGTTGGTGAATGCAATATTTCCCACCTTTGTTTATAAATCAGATGCCACATGCGCGCACACCCCAAACACATGTGCAAACACTTTCAATTTGACTAGAGTCGAACATTTGCCATCACATTTAGGAAATATAAATATTTATTTTGTGACAGACTTGCAATATTTTTCCATCATTCTTCCTATGTGCCACTGTGTGTATTCCAATTAGGCATTGCTCCCTGTATCAACAACATGTTAATTTGCTGCACTGGTAGACTTGATTTATCTTGCGTTTAAAAGGAGGACTTTTATCTTCCCTTGAGTTTTTAATGTAGAAAATGTCTTTATCTCTTAATAAGTTTTGACTAATCTAATAGCAAATCTTCTTGTTTCATCAGGATGAAAATGGAGCTGGATTATCTGATGAAGATCTGCGTGCTGAAGTAGACACCTTCATGTTTGAAGGCCATGATACCACAACCAGTGGTATTTCCTGGATCTTACATGCAATGGCTCAGAATCCAGAACATCAGCAAAGATGTAGGGAGGAAATAAAGGACACTTTGGGAGAAAGAGACACGGTTCAGTGGTGAGAATTCTAACCTGATGTCTCTGCATTGTTTGCTTTGAATTTAGAGAACTATTTTTAAAGGAAAGCATGGACACTTTAAAGCTTTAGAATTAGAAGTTCAAAGACCATCCCATCATTTCCTTTATGCTAATTTGCCCCCTAAAAATACTGCAGTGATCCCTGACAGAATTCCTAATACAGTTTGGTTGCAATCCAATATGTGCTTATTTTAAAATAAACAGAATTTGACCATTATTGAGTTTTCTCTACTTTGATTCATCCCATTATTACCAAAGTTTGTACCACTCTGGGATCCTATTGTTTTTCAATTAATCTAAGACCTCTCATCCTCCAACCATAGCAAGCTTACACATCAGGTTGTTGGTTTGTTTTAACTTGCAGAGGAATCTGTTCATATGCTATCAGGTTTTGACATATAATGAAATGTTTTCTTGCTGGTAAAAAAACCCAACTCATACACTTCAGATTCCAATAATGCCTCAAAATTACGTGCAGGAAAATACAGTTTCACTATTTGTAGATCCTTTCATTATAATTGCTGTCATAGAACTGGCCTCATAGTATACTTGTCACAGGAAGAAAAAGAGAACCAAAGTTCCCACCATCCAGTGGTGTATTTTAGACTTATAAACAGCTTGCTTTATGCCCATATGTTGCATAGTGGTTGGTAGTCGTCATGAATGTGAGCAAAGGAGTTGCTTAATCCTATCTCTTCCACTTGATTCTCTCAGGGAAGACCTTGGGAGGATAACTTATACCACCATGTGTATTAAGGAGGCCCTCCGTCTTTACCCTCCAGTTCCGGCTGTGTCCCGACAGCTTAGTAAACCCATAACTTTTTGCGATGGACGCACCTTGCCTAAAGGTTAGTTTATATGTTTACCATTAGTTTGGGTTTAATTGGGGGGGGGCGTGGACATAGTGAAATAAATAAATATGTCAGCACTGTATTCGTGTGTGTTCCCTATTAATTCCTAGCATAGAGTTTGCCTTTTTCACTACTGCTGCACACTGGGTTGACATTTTCATTGAGTTTTTCACAACAACCTCAAGATTTTTTTCAGTCTTAGTCTCAGTAAGTTCAAACCCTATTAGCATATACTTATTAAAGCTGTGATTTTTTTTTTGTTCCAGTGTGTATCACATTACACTTACCAACACTGAACTTCATTTTGCACATTGTCTTCCACCTACCCAATAAGTAGAAATCCTTCAGGAGCTCTTCATAGTCAGGCTTGGTTTTCACCATCCTGAATAATTTTGTGTCATCTGCAGATTTAACCATTACACTGCTTGCCTCCAGTTCCAGAACATTTATGAACAAATTAAATAGCACTAGCCCCAGTACTGATCCTTGTGAGACCCTACTCCTTACTTTCCTCCATTGAGAGTACTGTCTGCTTATGCCTACTCTCTGCTTTCTTTCATTTAGTCAATTTTTAATTTATTAAAGGGCCCATCCTCTTATACCGTGACTGCTAAGCTTACCCAGGAGACTTTGGTGAGGTACCTTGTCAAAAGCCTTTTGAAAGTCCAAGTATACAATGTCTACCAGGTCACTGTTATATACCTGTTTGTTGACTTTCTTAAAAAAAACTCCAAAAGGTTGGTTGGGCAGGACATTTCTTTGCAGAAGCTATGTTCATTTTCCCTTGGCAGGCTTTGTTCCTCTATGTGCCTAATAATTATATCTTTTATAACTAGTTTCTACAAATTTGCCTGGGACAGATGTTGGGCTAACTGGCCCATAATATAGTAGTTCACCCCGGACCCCTTTCCAAAAATTGGTGTAAATATTTGCTATGCTCCAGTCTTCTGGTACAGTGGCTGATTTAAGTGACAAATTACATACAGAATCAGCCACTGTATCGAAGGACTGGAGAACAGCAAATGTTACACTGACCTGATGAATAGGAGCAAGCAGGAAAGTGGAGACCGCTTTAAATGCTACTGTAGGAAGCCTCTTCAAGCCGGGAATGCAGCTACAGACTGGCCCAAAACATTCCAACCTGGACAATTGGGGGGGGGGGGGAACCCAAAAAACTTCTAGGACAGCTGCTGTAATTGTTTGAGTAAAAGCTACCAGAAATATTTTCATTTCAGTGCACATTCTGAAACTATGTTGCTACCATACATGGACTAAAGTTTCAGGTTGCAGAGCTTAGTCCTAATGCACAATTTTACATATTGTTGCAATGTAAGATTGTCAGGAGCCTGGCTTCTCTGCAGCCACTTCACACAAACTCTGCTGAGCCAAGAAAGGAAGGGTGGGTGGGTGTGGCAAAGCAACATGGTGATGTGGAAGCAACAGCTGCTCCTAAACCAGTTTCCCTGTACTGTCTTTCCCATCCCCCCTACTGGAAATACGGTTGTGATGGCATAATTCTGCACAAACTCTTCAACATTTAACTATGACTCTTCCTGGCAGGGCAGTGTCACTGAATTTCAGCATAGAGTCATAACTTCTGACAGCACGTTGTCACAGTGTTAAGTATACGCAATCTCTATCTCACATTTGCTAGGAGGAAAAAATAGGATCCTTAAGGTATCAGATGAAGGGAGCTTTGACTTATACCCCCCCAAATCTTGTTGGTCTTGAGGGGCTACTGGACTCAGATCTAGGATCTTTAAGGAGCTGAAGTAATCTCTTATACGGATCACAATTTGCAAAGTTCTTAAGCTTCCACTGTGGTACCATAATAGCTTATTTGAGCTCTATTGTTATTTATATTTTTGGTCCCAAGGTGACCTGTAACAACAGAGAAAGGGAGGGTAACAAGCCATTTCCTTACATCTTGTAAAAGAAGAATACACTATGGGTTTTCTTTTCCTGTATCTGCATCTAAATTTTCTTAGACAAATGTAGATGGTGTATTTATGAATCTTTACATTTAATAAAATTGTAACACTCATTGCTTAAAAACGTTATTTGTAAAAAGAAACTGAATGAGGCGGGAGCTGTAGCCCTATGCACACGTGGCTGTGGGGAGGATACCTTAGCTTCAGGACAGCTCCCAGCTTGCTAGAGACCTTGGATATCGATGTTAACTTGGTTATCACTTTGTTTTGTAGGTTCCATAGTGGCAATTAGCATTTATAACATCCACCGAAACCCAAGCATATGGGAAGACCCAGAGGTAATCTGTTTCCTTGTAATAAGATGAAGACAAATAACAGCTTTTACATTATAACTAATTCCAGAATATTTTATTTATTTAACTATATATAGCCAAGGGATCTGCATATTTCAATTAAAGATGAAAATATTCCTCAGTGAAGAATGCATAAAGTGACAGCTACTGGACACACTGCACATAGTCTATGACATTTTTGTACTGAAATTGTTTACATTAAATCAGGATATAAAGTCCTGTTTCCTCAGTTTCTCAAAAATATCTTGAAATCGGCTTGTGTGTGTGTGTGTGTGTGTGTGTGAAATGCCATCAAGTCACAGCCAACTTATGGCAACCCCAGCGAGGGGTTTCAAGGCTAGTGAAAAGCAGAAGTCATTTGCCATTACCTTCCTCAGCAGACTCTTCCTTGGTGGTCTCCCTTCCAAGTACTGATACTGCTTAGCTTCTGAGATCTGATGAGATCGGGCTATACCATGCTACCTTCCCTCACCCAAATGAGTGTAAGAGTCATTTAAAGCAAACCAACCAACATGTTTGTCCTGATGCAATGAGAGGGTTAGCTCCGCACAATATAGAACCATAGAGTTGGAAGGGGCCATACAAGCCACCTAATCCAACCCCCTGCTCAATGCAGGATCAGCCTAGAGCATCCCTGACAACTGTTCATCCAGCCATTGCTTGAAGACTGCCAGTGAGGGGGAGCTCAATACCTCCCTAGGCAGCTAATTCCACTGCTGAACTGTTCTTACTGTACATTCCCCCCCCCAATATCTAGCCAGTATATTTCCACCCATAATTTAACCCATTATTGCGAGTCCTCTGCCACCAACTGGAACAGCTCCCTGACCTTTAAGTGACAGCCTTTCAAATACTTAGAGAGTAATCATGTTCCCCCTCAACCACCTCTTCTTCAGACTGAACATTCTCAAGTCCCTCAGCCTTTCCACGGAGGGCTTGATCTCCAGGCCCATGATCATCTTCATCACCCTCCTCTGCACCTGCTCCATTCTGTCCACATCCTTTTTGAAATGAGGCCTCCAGAATTGCACTCAATACTCCAGGTGTGGCCTGACCAATATGGCATACAGTGGGACTATGACATCTTGTGGTTTAGATGTTATGCCTCAGTTGATACACCCCAAGACCACATTAGCCTTTTTTACTGCTCCATGACACTGAGTGCTCATATTTTGCTTACAGTCCACCCATACCCCAAGATCTAGTTCATATACACTGCTACCCAGAAGTGTTTCTCCCATCCGGTATGCATGCTTCTCATTTTTGTTACCCAGATGTACACCTCTGCACTTATCCTTATTGAATTGCATCTTGTTCGCATCCACCCACTCTTCCAATGTGTTTAGATCTCATTGAATTCTCTCTCTATCTTCTGATGTATTTGCTACCCCTCCCAGTTTAGTGTCAACTGCAAATTTAATGAGTAGTCTTTCCACCCCCTCCTCCAGATCATTTATAAAAATATTGAAAATGCTGGGCCCAGAAACGAACCCCGTGACACCCCACTGGACACCTCCCTCCAATCAGATGAAATGCCATTGACAACTACTATTTAGGTGCAGTTCTCTAATCAGTTCCCTATCCACCTAACTATCCTACAGTCCAGTTTGCAGTCTTACAGTTTACCCATAAGAGCATCATGGGGAACCTGCCCTCGATTAAAGAAGGAAACGAGGTTGGTCTGGCAGGATCTGTTGGAGACAATTCTGTGCTGACTTCCGCAGATCACCAAGTTGTCCTTCAGATGCCCACAGACTGACCCCTTTAAAATCTGCTTATCTTCCCTGGGACAGAGGTCAAACTGACTGGCCTGTAGATTCCAGGTTCTTCCTCCATTTTTTAAAGATTGGAATAAAAAAAATTTCTACGAAATGACCCCGGAGTATGGCTGAGCCTCTCATAGCTTCCTCCACCATTTGAAAAAGGAAGTTATCAGCCAAGCAGGTCAGGAAGCTGTGTGACTCTGGATGCTTAGCAGAGTTTGTCTCCCAGCACACATCAGGGAAGTTGAAGTCATCCATAACTACAAGGTCATGTTGCTTGGATACACTATCAAGCTGCTTAAGGAGGGCTGCATCCACCTCCTCACCCTGCTCAGGTAGTCTGCAGCAGACTCCAACCACAATACTGTTTGCCTGCCCTTCCCGTATCCTTACCCAGATGCTTTCCACTGGGCTGTCACTCACCTCCACCACTATTCTTGGCAAGTAAACCCTCTCCTAACATACGGCGCCACTCCATCTTCTTTTCGACCCATTCTGTTTTTCTTGAACAATTCATATCCTTTCACTACTACATGCCAGTCATGGGAATCATCCCACTAAGTTTCTTTAATGCCTACTAAATCCCATCCCTCTGCATTAGAAGCTCAAGCTCTTCCTTCTGAGAGCCAGTTTCGTGTAGAGGTTAAGAGCTCAGACTCTAATCTGGGAGAACCGGGTTTGATTTCCCACCTCCACACGCAGCTGCTGGAGTGACCTTGGGCTCGTCACAAGTTCTCTCAGAGCTGTTCTCTCAAGAGCAGTTCTCGAAGAGCTCTCTCAGCCCCACTTACCTCACAGGGTATCTGTTGTGGGGAGGGGAAGGGAAAGGAGATTGTAAGCTGCACTGAGACTCCAAGTAAAGGGCAGGGTATAAATCCAATTTTTTCCTCCTCCTCCTCCTCTTCCTCCTCCCCCTCCAAGCTTTGGGCATAGGTACATAGGCCCATTTGACCTCACCTTCCCAGGTGGGCCTCTACTGTTTGCTCTCCTTCATTGAAACCCCTATGTTGCTGATCTTCTTCACCTTGTGGTGTCAGTTTAAAGCCTTCTTGATTAATCTCCCCAGTTTCCATGGGGGCCTAGGGTCTGTGTGATTTCCAGTGGTCATACATTTCCCAGACACCTTCTGGGCTTTAAAGCTGGACTGAGGAGGCTCAGAGGGGGGCAGGTGTTCACTCCCTGAAGCTGAATAGAGAGGCTCTTTTTGGAGGGAACTGATCCCTCATCCTACTGTGGCATGAGTTTAGGACCAGGTATTGAAACACAAGAAAGTTACATTAGTGTACTTAGGGTTGCCAACTCTGGGTTGTGAAATTCCTGGAGATTTGGGGAGGAGTTTGGGGCAGGCAGTTTGGGGAGAGGATATACCTCAGCAGGGTATAATGTCATACAGTCCACCCTCTAAAGCAGCAGTTCTCTCTAAGGGAAATTATCTCTGTTGACTGGAGATCAGTTATAATATCAGGAGGTCTCCAGGCCCCACTTGGAGGGTGCTAACCCTAAGCCAGCTTCTTTCTTTGTGAGTTTTGCCTTGTGTAGTTGTTGTCTCCCTGTATTGATTCTGCCCCATTTTTATAACTTTTCTCCTATTTACTTAATTGCTATAGTATTTGTTTAATAAACCCTTTCTTGTTCACTCTGCTGGGCTCTTCATGCCACAAATTTGGCCATACATTAGGGCACGCCCTGACTAAAGAAGGAGTTGCCTGAGGGCAGGGAGGGGGCTCTGGGCCCTCTCTAGTAAACCTGTACAACAGAGTAGTGGCAGTCAGTTAAGGCCCTTGCCTGCTCCAGGCCTGAAGGGAACAGGAAGAAAGGCAGGGGTTTGTGGGGAGGGAAGGATCCCTGGAAGGTCTGCCATCTGTGGGGCAAACCTGCATGGCCCTGCCCCTGTCCATGACAGCATGGCACCTAGAATTCATCAGCCAGAGCTGCAGATGTGGCTCTAGTCCCAGTCAGAAGAATGTTCAGCATTCAGCAGAGGGTTAATGCCATGAGCCATAACATCCACTGCTAGAGTTGGCAACCTCCAGGTGGTGGCTAGAGACCTCCTGGAATTAGAACTGATCTCCTTGCCACAGAGATCAGTTCCTCTGGAGAAAATGGTTGCTTTGGAAGGTGAACTCTATGGCATTATTATTATCCCTCCCCAAACCCCAGACTCACCCCCCAAATCCCCAGGAATTTTCTAACCTGGAGCAGGCAACTCTATCCGCCACCTGGTAGAAAGATGTGATGGCACAGACACCCATATGCCTCTATATAGTTTAGTTTATTTTGTTTATATCTTCAACTTATTTTCAAACATAGCTTTGCAGCCACAAGAACTAGTGTACTTTAAGAAGAAACAAAAGCTTGAGAATTTCAAGATTCTAACAAGAGCCCACAAGTATCCCATAAACATATGGCCTAGAGCAGGGGTGTCAAGCAGGATCAGGCCCCTGGAGGGCTTTTATCGGGTCCTCAGTCCAACTGACTGTCTTCTGCTTCTTCTTCCAGTTCTGCTGCTGCTGTGTCATCATAGGTTTGCAGCTTAAAGATACACACCTGAATGGCATACTCAAGATTGCAACAGCACAGACATTGTAATGCAATAATTCAGAGAAAGAGGTGTCACTTATCAGACACTGTTAAATAAACAAAATATTGCAAGGGTGCTAATGTTTTAAGCATGTTTTTAAGTTAAAAAAACCCTTTGTGTTTGTGTCCTTTATAAAGTTTATATCTCTGCTACCTGGCATTACATTTTATGACACACATGGCCCGGCCCAACAAGGTCTCATTTATGTCATATCCGGCCCTCATAACAAATGAGTTTGACACCCCTGGCCTAGAGCTTGTATATTACCTACAAGTGCATCAAGATATTTTTAGAAGTGAAGTAAGCTATCAATAGCTACTAACAAAAGACTTTTGCATTCTCTTCCTTTAGGTGTTTGATCCCACAAGATTCTCATTAGAAAACTCTTCTCAGCGACATTCCCATGCTTTTGTGCCCTTTGCAGCGGGACCAAGGTGAGCAGTGCACATTTTTAATGTTTGTTGATCACAATCTTGCTTTGCATGAAGAAGGCAAGAGACATAAGTCCTGTGCACAGAAGACTGAAAGGAGAACAAATGACATTTGGTGAGGGAACAGGAAGAGAAGAGGGCTAGCTTGGTTTATGGTGATGGACAATGCTAATGCCTGAATCAGTATCTGGACAGAATGCATTCTTGGGGCCAAGTCTAGGGCAATGACAGTTTGATAGGAGATTTTTCTTCATATATCCCAAAGAGGTATAAACTGGCTGAATTTATATCATTCCAAGGTTAAAAATTTCCTCTCAGAGGCTGCTTTCATATAAACCTCCCTCCCTCCCTCCCTCCCTCCCTCCCTCTCTCTCTCTCTCTCTCTCTCTCTCTGGAACTGTTACAAGGTTTTTTGCTGATACAATTTCTTACATATATTCCAATTTAGATGCTGGTTATAATATAGCTGAGTCACTAGAAATTCCTAGTACACAATCTAGCACATTTCTGAATTATTTTGATCTAGTTATCATGTTGAATGCCAACAAGATTTGGGGATTTGTAAAATTCACCACTTATACTCTGGATCCTTGTCTATTCTGATTACTGAAATCATGTAAAGACTAATGAAATAGTCCTTGAGGTCCAACAGAAACCAATCACTGGCCCAGGGCACCTTTCCTTGGTCATTGAAAGATGCAGTTATCCTACAATTACTTTTTAAAAATCTTAGAGAAGAATTATGTGGCCCATTATTGTCCCACCTGTAATTTGCCCTTCCTAGTTATGATTATGGTACCACTTGCAGAACAACATCAGGAATTCCTGGATAATTCATTTTCTGTAGACCCCTTCCAGCCTTGTTTCTGGCCAAGCTAGTGGCTGTAGTTTATGATCTTGATTTGAATGTAGACAAGGGCCATGTGTCTTTGTTGCTCCTTTTGGATTTATCAGCAGCCTTTGGTTCAGTAGACCATGCCATCTTATTGAGATGTTTGGAGAAGAACTAGGTAATCAAGCAGCATGCTTGGGATTGGTTCAAATAGTTCCTTATGGATCAGACCCAGAGGATTGCTGTTGGAGAACAGTTGTTAGTGTGGGACTTGCAGCTGCAAAACAGCTTCATTTAGAGTGGAAGATGGTTCCCTACTTTGATGCAGTCAATCCAGCAGAAATAGAAAATAAGGCCAAGGCTGATGGTGCAAAATGAAGTAAAAATATACATTATTAGTTAATTTTTCCCCTTACTTTTGCACCATCAACCCTGGCTTTATTTTATATCTCTTAGTGATTGGTGCAGCTCTTTTCATTCTCCTCAGTCAGTCTGGCCACATGGATCCATGCCGTGCTAACCTTGAGGTTAGAAAATTGCAGTGCTGTCTACATGGGTCTGCCTCTGAAGTCAGCTCAGAATCTCCAACTGATATAGAATGGCACAGCTCAGTTATTATCACATGCTATACTAGGCATATGCATGCGCAGGGAACGCTCTGCGACCGCCGCTGCCACCACCGCCGCTTGGAAGGTGAGCAGCGAGCCGGGAGGGGGGCCCTCGCTTTGGAGCCGGGGGGGAGGAGAAAAAGCCACTCGGCCCTCGCTTCGAAGCCGGGGGGGGAAGAAGAAAAAGCCGCGAGGCTTCAGAGCCAGGGGGAAGGAAGGCAGGAAAAGCAGCTGGCAAAGGAGGCAAGTGCCGCGCAGAAGGAGCAGGGGCGCCCTTGCCCGGCCCGGCTCGCAAGGAGCCAGCCCGGGTCCTCCGCCGCCGCTGTAGCTGTCGCACATCGCAGGCCTCGGCGAACCAGCCCCTCTCGCACACCTGATGCCGCCGCCATAGCCCCCACCTCAGGGGGAGGATGGTAGGGGAGGGGGAAGCTTGCCGGGGGGGGGAAGGCCAGAGGGGGGAGATCGAGCGGGGGGGCCGGGGGAGGAACTGGCAGGATGGGGGGGGACTTACCTCCTCCTGCTGCTTCCTCCTCTGCCTTCTGACTTTGGAGCTCCGTTTGGAGCTCTGCCTCCCTCCCCACCCCCCACTCCCCGCGAGTATCGCGGGTCCACCCCTTGTTGTTTTCTAATTTTGTAATCCTAGTCCACATGCTTATTCTTGTGCTGCCTTTTTTGCTTTTTTATATTTTGTAATCTACCTTGAGGCTTAGAAAGGCAGACTATAATAAAGTAAATACATAAATAAACCTTTCATAATTCTTCAGGGCCTCTTTCTCTCTCCCCTCCCTCAGGAACTGCATTGGACAGCAGTTTGCCATGAATGAAATTAAAGTTGCTGTTGCCCAAATCCTGCTTCGGTTTGAAATCTTACCCGATCCAGCAAAGCTTCCTGTTCCTATTCCTCAAGTTGTCTTGAAGTCTGAAAATGGGATACATATACTTCTAAAGAAACTCAATGGACAATAAAGTTAAAAACTTTGCTTTTTGAACTGATAGGAATGCTATTCCTTCATTATTGCAAATTTTGTGAGCACTCCCTTTCATTTCTGTGCAAGACACAAAGCAATTTTAAATTTAATTTTAAGGCAACATTGTTAAATCTTCTTTAAATCTCCTATTTATTTTCTGTTTAGTGTATTTTATCTCATCTCTCCAAAAATTTTCTCAAGGTGACTCACAAGACAAAAGACAAAATAAATAATAAAACTCTAGTAATAACATTAATCCAAACAGTTAAAATGATTCAAAACAGTTTTCAGGAATGAGATTCACAGAAGATCATAATCTGATATATATAAAAGCCCAAGCGTCTTGGCATTTTCCAGCTCTCTCATTGGCTGTGCTGTGCACTCCATCAGCCATTGGCCCATCAGCCGCCACTCAAGATTACTCGCGTGCCATTGGCTGGGGGCTGGGTCCACTCCTCTCTCCTGCTCACTGCCAGCCTGGCCACTCTTCCCTGACAGAATAAACTGCCAAAACAGCTGTCTCTCCTGATGAAGATGCTTCTCCTGCTTGGCTCCTCTGCAGCTGGCTGGCTGGCTACTGAGGTGGGTCACTGGCCGTCAAACCATTCTCTTCTCCTCCTGCTGTGAGACTAACTTTCCCCTCAGTGACTGTTGCTAGGCAACCAAGCTTGGTTCTGTCAGTAAAAAGGCAAAGGCAGGAGGCCCTTTCCAGGCCTACTTTGGCCTTTGTGGAGAACTCATTGGGGCCAGTCCTGACTAGGGTTGCCAGCTCCAGGTTGGGAAATTCCTGGATATTTTGTGGTGGATTCTACAGAAGCCAGAGTTTGGGGAGGGGAGAGGCCTCAGCTGAATAGAATGCCATAGGGTCCACCCTCCAAAGCAGTTATTTTCTCCTGGGGAAATATTGCTGCCAATCTCCAGATGAGGCAAACCAAGGAGAGAGATCACGGGAAGGAAGTGGAAAAGGAAACAAACAACCGAGATATATTATGCCACAAAAGTCTCCAAAAACTAGTTTAAAAGTTCTGTTTTGTCAAATGGGTTGACTGTTAGGAAGGCAGCAACTACTGATGTGTTTGAAAGGGTAAAAGTTTGTAAAACCTCAATTGGTTTTGCTACTCCTCAGGGCATTACTGCCTTTGCAAATGGGTTTTGTCCCTTTAAGATGCAGGTCTGGCAAACAGCCGGCTGGCAACAATTATGGGCTTTAGATATGTATAAATAAATAGGAAGAATGATTGACATTACACTGATGGATTTTGAAGAATGTCACTATGAAATATTACCAGTGAGTTTGATTAATCTTGTAAGTATGTTATATAACAGTCAGTTGTTTGTACAGCCTTGTGCTATTTTCTTTCTAACATTAATACTAATAATAGAATTATATGTTTTTGTAATTAAATGTAGGTATTTCAACGCTATTCACTTTGACAAAGTTGTACACGTAACGAGATGATATGCATGATCTGTTGGTGTTGATGGCGTTTGAATTGCATCCAGTAAACTGAATATTGGAAAAAGAAATTTCTAGTTTTTGGAGACTTTTGTGGCATAATATATCACGGTTGTTTGTTTCCTTTTCAACCAATCTCCAGATGAGGGCTGAGGATCACTCAGATGGCAGAGATCAGTTTCCCTGGAGAAAATGGCTGCTTTGCAGAGTGGACTCTGTGTCATTATACCCTGCTGAGGTCGCTTCCCTCCTGCTATGGTCTCCACTGCAGAACTTTTCCTAGCTAGAGGCTGCAGGGGGGGGGGGAGGAGATGGAAAGCTGAAGTCAGATGGGGCAGATAAAGGTAGGTTAATGGTTGGCTGGGAAGGTGATAGGGTTGCCAACTCCATGTTGGAAAAATCCTGGATATTTGAGGGGTGGTGCCTGGAGAGGGTGTGGTTTGAGGAGGGGTGGTACCACAGACAGGTACACTGCCATAGACTCTACCCTTCAAACCAGCCACGGAACCATTGTTGCCAATCTCTAGGTGAGGGCTGGAGATCACTCAGAATTACAATTGCTGTCCCCTGGAGAAAACAGTGGACTCTGTGTCATTATACCTTGCTGAGGTGGCCACCCTATGACAACCAGTGTGATGAAGCAGTTAGCACTTCAGGGCAGGGTCTTCCAGACCCAGGTTCTTGCTGTGGAAGCTGATTGGGTGATTTCAGACCATTCAGACTTTCAGTCTAACCTACCTCACAGGGTTGTTGTGCAGATTGAAAGGGGGATAGGAGAATGATGTGAGCTGCTTTGGTCCCCACTGTAGAGGAACACTGTACTTTTCCTAGGTAGAGGCTGCAGGGAGGGGAGAGGAGATGGAAACCTGAAGTCAGAGGGGCAGATAATGGTACATTGATGGTTGGCTGGGAAGGAGATATAGTTGCCACCTCCAGGTTGGGAAATTTATGGAGATTTTAGGGGTGGAACCTGGATAGGGTGGGGTTTGAGGAGGGGTTGGACCAGTGTTCCCTCTAAGCTGAGTTAGTGTGAGCTAGATCACAGTTTTTTAGCCTCTGGCTCAGACATTTTTGTCTTAGCTCAGGAAGGACAGCTCCAGAGCAAACTAAATGATGCAGTAACCAAATGGCTTGCTCACAGCTTTGATGCCAGTAGCTCGCAAAGTAGAATTTCTGCTCTCAAGGCTCCACAGCTTAGAGCGAGCACTGGGTGGGACCTCAGACAGGTACAATGCTATAGACTCCACTCTCCAAACCAGCCATTTCCTCCTGGGGTGTGGGCTGGAGATCACTCAGAATTACAACTGCTGTCCAGGTGGCAGAGATCAGTTCTTCTGGAGAAAATGGTGGACTTTCCCAGAGCCTCTTTCTTGAGCTTGCTGTATTTATTTCCACAACGGGCCCTATTCCTAGTAATAAAGACCAGAATAAAATAATTCACAACTGAGGGTAGATCATAAAACAATAGGACTGAAATACCAAAGAACTGTAAATATGTTAAACTAAAAGGCTAGGTGAAAAAAATGCTTATACCTGGTTCCTAAAAGCCGATAAGCTAGGTGCCTGGCAAGCTTGTAGGGGAAGGGCAGTCCACAGAGGAGGTGCCATCAATGAGAAAGCCCTGTCCTGGGTTGCCACTCACTCTGTATCCCCAGGTGAGAGCACTGAGAGAGAAAAGGGCTTAGGATGAAGACCTTTGTCCAGGAATGTTTCCCCATGCATGGGCTCTGCAGAAATTTGATTCCTGTCTTGTAGGTTCTGGAAAATCATTCTGGGAAACTGCTGCTCTGACCCATGGAAGCTATCCCAGGGAATGGGGCATAGTTCTGTCTTATCTCCTATGTTATTCAATATCTGTAAAGTGCTGAGAGTTCATATGATATGTTCAGTGTCAACATCATCATTATGCCAATACCACACAGTATTTTCCTCAAATCCCACAAAAAGTGCCCATTGCAATTTCTCCAGAAGAGGGATTTAGCCATCATGATACATTTCCAGAAAACTCAACAGTGGACTCAAGGAACCCTATGTGGGTCTGCTTTTGAAAAGTAATAGAAGACAGCAAATCATGGGAAGATTAATCACTGCAAGTAGGACAATTAATCACTGGAATCATCCAGAGAAACCACATGGAGAGAATTAGTAGGCATATTGATGAACAAAAACTATTGAGACAGACTCAACCTGTTAGTGTTCTTTGAGAGAGTGAACATGTGGACAAGGGGAACCCAATAGATGTTTTTACCTTGACTTCCAGAAAGCGTTTGATAAAGTTCCTCATCAAAGGCTCCTAAGTAAGCTTAATAGTCACGGGATAAAAGGACAAGTGCTCTTGTGGATCAAAAACTGGCTAATTAATAGGAAACAGAGAGTGAGTATAAATGGGCAATTTTCACAGTGGAGGGTGGTAAGCAGTGGGGTACTGGAGGGATCAGTACTGGATCTGATAATTTTTAACTTGTTCATTAATGATTTGGAGTTGGGTGTAAGCAGTGAAGTGGCTAAATTTGTGGATGACACAAAATTGTTCAGGGTGGTGAGAAGCATGGAGGATTGTGAGGCACTCCAAAGGGATCGGTCGAGGATGGGCGAGTGGGTGTCAACGTGGCAAATGAAGTTCAATGTGGCCAAGTGCAAAGTGATGCACATTGGGGCCAAAAATCCTAACTATAAATACATGCTGATGGGGTCCGAACTGATGGAGACTGATGAAGAGAGAGATCTTGGAATCGTAGATAAATGTCAAAACAGTGTGTGAATGCAATAAAAAAAAGGCCAATGCTAGGCTGGGGATTATTAAGAAGGGAATTGAAAACTGTGAGAAGTAAGAAGGGGAAAGTATTTTTGGTTTATATTCCTGCATACACCTGAAATGTCCCAGGCAGATGAATAAGGGTATATTGCTCTGAGGATGTTAAATTGCAAAGCTACCAGAGCAGCTGTTATGGTTTCCTAACCAGAAGAACAGTTTCCCTCTGCTCAGCACATTCTTTTCTATTGTCAACATCCTCAGATAAAGAAGGTGTTTTTCCACAGCTCTCCCTTAAGCCAAGCAAGTCTGGTTTTGTATATATTAATTGAAGGACATATATTACAGGCTATAATGTTAGAATATTTTTTCTCTCACTTTAACCTTAGAAGAAGATGTTTAAGAACAGAGAATTTATGCTTTTATAACAGGCTATTACAAAAAGGTTGCACCTGGAATCTCAGGGCATTAAACTTATGCTTGAAACAAGGGCTTCTCCAAGTCAGGGTGACCCCTCTGCATGTGTCGTAAATCACACCCCTTATGGACCTCGGATGCCAGAAGAGTCCTTGAGTTCTTTGTGCCTTTTATTACATAAACAATTGATCAATGGATATGAATGAATGTAGTATGATCCCTGATAAGGGGGTCTCCAATAAGGTTATATCAACATATGATGCCAAGATATTTGTCACCAATAATTCTTTTCTGAAATGTAAATTCACAGATATCACTTAAGGTATAAAAGTAGATGGTTTAGAACCTAGAGTCAGAGAAACAGCTTGGTAGA